TTTTTTTTTTTTGGAGTCAGGTTCTCGCTTTGTTGCCCTTGGTAGAATGCCATGGCATCACAGCTCACAGCAACCTCAAACTTCTGGGCTCAAGTGATCCTCTTACCTCAGTGTCCTGAGTAGCTGGGACTAGGGGCACCCACCACAACACCCAGCTATTTTTAGAGATGGGGTTTCTTGCTCAGGTTGGTCTCCAATTCCTAAGTTTAAGCAATCCACCTGCCTCAGCCTCCTAACCTGCTAGGATTATCAGTGTGAGCCACTCCCCCCCCCCAGCTATATTACATCACGTTTTTATTTATTTATTTATTTATTTATTTATTTATAGAGATAGAATTTCACTTTTTCGTCCATGGTAGAGTGCTGTGGCATCACACAGCTCACAACAACCTCCAACTCCTGGGCGTGGGTGATTCCCTTGCCTCAGCTTCCTGAATAGCTGGGACTACAGGTGCCTGCCACAACGCCCCGCTATTTTTGTTGTTGTTGTTGCAGTTTGGCTGGGTCTGGGTTTGAGCCAACCATCCTCAGTATATGGGGCTGGCGCCCTGCCCACTGAGTCACAAGTGCTGCCCATACATTATGCTTTTATATGTTGAGTCACCTTTGCATCCCCAGACGAATTCCATTGGTCATGGTGTATAACCTTTTTAATAATACTGCTAGACTTGGTTTGCTAGTTTTATGTTGAGGATTTCGCATCCATGTTTATGGTGTAGGTTATATTATGTTTTATTTACTCTTTGTTGTTTTATATGAAATGAAGAACAAAAACATGTCAAAGAGGATGAGTTGCATGGGTTACATTTAGGCTGCCATTGTGTTTCTGTAAACCAGACCTGCATCTTAGCCCAATCTGAAAAAATGGTTGCAAAATGGTTGGAAGCAGGATAAATCTGGCAAGAGATGATGGAGGGCTGGATTATGATGGGGTCTTGGGATGAAGTGTAGGAACATGTGGAACTGGAAATTGAGCCATGGTGAATTTGACCTGACTCACTCTCTTTTCAAGGGTAATGAGAAATTAATATCCTTGGACATGACTCCAGCATCTGGAAACAGTGGAGAACTCACCTTTTGGAACCATGGTGTACCTGGCATTCAACACTTTACTGGGGGAAGAGAGATATCGAGGAGCCCCTGGGTGTCTGCTGAGGCACTAAGGCAGAATGTGAATGAAGTGGGGCCACGGTTCAGTACGACACTCCACGAGCCTGGCATGGGCTACTGTCCCCAAGCCACTCCTACTCATTCCCCAATGACTTACTGCCAGGGAGTGTCTCCCTCCCAGCCAGAGATGATGGTTTTCAAGGGGACCCCGATGATGCCCTTAGGAGTGCCCAATGTTACAGGAGTGGCCATGACCTTCACTGGGCATCTAAGGATGTCTTCCACTGGGTTGCCAGTCTCAAATTCCAGTGGAAGAATGCCTATGATGTCCCATATGGGGGCCCCAGGAATGCCTTATTCTGAACCCTCAACAGCACCTTCTAACAGAGCCTCTTTAACACCTGAGATATTATTGGCACCAACCACACCTGCCACTGAGGTCATGGCTGTGCTGCCTTCTCTGGAGCAGATGTTGCCCCCCAGAGATCCCCATAACCATGGGATATCCCCAGCTGAGACCCAATCATTGCTGGCATTAGAATCTCAGGACTCTATTATGAGTCAGCCAGACTCTCAGGCTGGCTCCTTCCTGCCTGAGCAGCCCTACCCTGCTCCACAGAAAGCAGAGCCAAACTCTGGGGCCCAGGAAGGGGTATACAGATGCAGGTCCTCAGCTCCAAGACCTTACCGCTGCCCATACGAGAACTGTGGAAAAGCTTATACCAAGCGCTCCCACCTTGTGACTCACCAGCGCAAACATACAGGTGAGTGAGGTCAGGTGGGGTGGGTGGGCTTTGGATTTATGCTGGACCACTGGTTTGTGATCATTTGGGGTGAGTCCTTTGTCTTTCAAGCTTTGAACTAAGCTTTACTGGCTTAACTGAATTGCCATCCAAAATGGCTGTGCCAGGATGATGGGGAGGGGACACTACTGATTGTGTTGCCTCCATCATTGGCTTTTTTTTTCAGACAGAGTCTCACTTTGTCACCCTTGGTAGGGTGCTGTGGCATCACAGCTCACAGCGACCTCCAGCTCTTGGGCTTAGGCGACTGTCTTGCCTCAGCCTCCCAAGTAGCTGGGACTACAGGTGCCCGCCACAACTCCCAGCTATTTTTTTGTTGCAGTTTGGTTGGGGCTGGGTTTGAACCCACTGCCCTCGGTGTATGGGGCCAGCACCCTACTCACTGAGCCACAGGTGCTGCCCACCCCTCACTGGCTTTTGTGTTGCCCTCCCACTGGTTTTCTCTGTACCTTCCCTGTTCGTCCCCCAAGTTTGACTGCTCTGCCTCATAATCAGACCCTTTCCTTCTACCTGCCGATCTACTCTTCTGTTTAACCCCATTTCTCCCTTGCCATCCCCCAGGTGAGAGGCCCTACAAATGCTCTTGGGAAGGCTGCATCTTGGCTTTTTACCGTTCTGATGAGCTTGCACGACATACGCGGATACACACCAGATATCGACCATATAAATGTGATCACTGTGGCCGAAAATTCATGAGATCTGACCATCTCAGGCAACACCGAAAAATTCATCAGCAGAGGCCAGGACCCTCAGACCCACAGGTCCATGAGAGAGAGATGGGTGGTCCTCCCCCAGATCCTGCCTGCTTCTGAGCAGCTTGTCTCTTTGGTAGGTGGAGGCTTAGAAAAAGTGAGGCTGGGTGCGGTGACTCTTGCTTGTAATCCTAGCACTCTGGGAGGCCTTGCCTGAGCCAGAGTAAGACCTTGTCTCTAAAAATAGCTGAGCATTATGGTAGGCTCCTGTAGTTTCAGCTACTTGGGAGGCTGAGGCAAGAGAATTGCTTGTGTCCAAGAGTTAGAGGTTGCTGTGAGCTGTGATGTCAAAGCACTCCACCAAGGGCTACAAAGGGAGACTGTATCAAAAAAGTCAGTGGAAGATTGAGGCAGTATGGCAGCTCAAATGAAGTTCTGGACCCAGAGACCCCTCAAAAACCTCAGAACTGTCTTGGCCATTATGACCTCTCCAGGGCCACCTACTTCTGGAGTGCAGCCAGACAGGATGATGGAACATAGCAGAGATTAGGTTTAGAATTCTTTAATGACTCCTTATCTACTACATAATAAAATCTAAGTTTTTTACCTTGGTCTTCCACAGTTTCCAGAGCCAGACTATATTCAAATCCTACCTTGCCACTTAACTAGCCATAGGACCTTGGAAAAGGTCTTTGACAATGCCCATGGTCACAACATATACACCACATGAGATGCTCTCATTGGCCACATGCTCAGAGTTTTGGTCTCTTTTTGCTACTTCTAGAATTTGCAATGCCCTACCATGGGGCATCGAATCTGCCATCTCAAGGTGCCTCTAGCAACCTAGAAGTGTGGAAGTGTTAATACTTAGGGGATAAAATGGGAAAGCTAATGGGAAGTGGGAGATAGGAGAGAGCCAGGCAGATAAACTCCCCCTTTATCCTCCTATGGATTGCTGCAAAGCACTGTTTCTTCAAAACTGTACAATCTATGGGAGGCCTCCCAAGTAGCCAGTGGACACTTACTGTGTCTTTCCCTGTCTTGTCACAAAACAGCATCCAGCCTGGTGATTCATCACTTTGCATTAACTTCTGTTCCCTCCTGCCTCACATCCCCTTTGTCAAACCTAGTGTCTTAGGCTGGCACCTCCCAAATAGAACATCAGTATTTACCGTGTTTCCCTGAAAATAAGACACTGTCTTATATTTTTTCTCAAGAAGACACAGTAGGGCTTATTTTCAGGGGATGTCTTATTTTTATTAAGTTTAATACAACAATCTACATTTATTCAAATATAGTTAAGTCATCTTCTTTTGGAACCTGACAGGGGAGCCAACCTCATTGGTGGGGCTGGTGCTAGTGATGCGTGAACTCCTTTCCTCTAGCTGTTCGCATGTGCACAATAGGATGCCTGTGACCGTGGTTGCCACATGCGCACCCACCAAGTGCGAACAGCTCAGAGAAAGGAGCTGTGGCAGATAAAAGGTAATGCATGGCATGGCTATGCAGATACGCTGCATAGCCATGCCCATCACTAGGTCTTATTATTGGGGTAGGCTTCTAACAAATGCATAGAAATTATGCTAGGGCTTATTTTTGGGGTAGGTCTTATTTTCAGGGAAACATGGGAGTTCCTGATTTAGGCTCTGTTTTCTAGGTGACTTGAGGAGGACATTGGACTGGGGCAGATAAGGACCAGCCTCCTCAACTACTACCACCCACCACAGGTACCTAAAACCAAGCACCAGATTTTAAGGGGCCAATCCTGCCTTGCTCTCCCCTGGGGGTTGACTACCATGGCAACTGAGGTACTTTGTAGAACCTTGTTTCTGGACTTGTTAGGCCTGAGAAGAGAACTTGGCCATGTTATCAAGTGCAGACATATCTGCTCCAGAGGTGGTCTCTCTAAGAGATGTTGCCTTCTGTAGGTGTTTCCTCAACCCAGCTTGTGCCAAGCACAGAGACATGATGAATCAGGTCTGACTTCTATGCTCAAGGAATCAACTTGGCCTATGGGGCTGAGTGGCCCCCCTAAGTGCAGTAGCCTTGGGGAAGAGAAGTTGCCAAAGAGGAGGGTCAGCAAAGCTTTCTGGAAGAAGTGACTGGACCCAGTAATGCGACAACATCTAGTAATTCCTCAAATGTCGAAATAAACTGATGCAGCTGAATGAAGAGGGAAGAAGATTCTAGACTGAAGACAACAGATCTGGCAACTGCTCAGAGGAGAGCCAGCCTAAAGTTCCATTCATTCAGCAAGTGTTTTCTGAGCCCACCACAGAGAGCTCCAAGGCTCTCTGTGGGGACCCATGGGGACCCATGGTGAGGAGTATGAAGACAACTACAGGATGTGCCAGGGAGGACAGACTTCTCAGGGAGGTGCCTGAGTTAGACCTAAAGACTTGTGGGAGTTTCTGTTTGTGGGACATAGTCGTGACCTGTGTGGCACACTAGGGGTTCAGAGTTGCCTTCAGGCACCCTGCCTCTATTGTGGAGTAGAGGATTCTGAACCCTCAGTGCTACCAAAGACAGGAAGAAGCTGGATCTCTGGAGACCATTCTGGGCCTCTGGGAAAGCCCCACAGCCTTTGCCCTTGTACTTGTGCCCTGACCCTGGCCTGCTTGGCAGCCTTGGTCTGTGTCATTAGTCACCTCAGTGTACCAGAGGTGGACACCCTGGTGCTCTCCACCCAGGCCTGGAGGGAGGGGAGAGGACATCATTTAAAAAACAGAGGTAGGGAGTTGAGGCTGTGCTGAGCCCTCAGCCCCCCTCCAGGAGACTCTTGGAGCCCAGAACTTGCTGGGATTGAGGTGACACAAGATGTTGCTAGAGGTACAGGAGGAGGTAGATCTACTGGGGCTGTTTCCTTTTCCCCTGGCTGTCTTGTGGCAGGGTGAGTGGAGATCAGCACACCCTGGAGAGAAGCTGAAGTCTAGGTGGGGCCTGACCAGCTCCTCAGTGCTTGAGTGTAGCCACCCCCTAGTTGCACCCCCACTGGTGCCCAGACAGCCTATGCATTAAAGATTTAAGCATACATATTTACACATAAATGAAAAATAAAAATGAAACTCAAGGGCAGAAGGGGCTTGTTTGTGATCCATTCACTGGCCCCAGGGACTGAGGTCTTCAGTACCTAACATCTCTTTCATTCTTTTCCATGGAGCAGGCCATCTTGGATTGGTCGGCCAGGGCTGGTCTCTTTCCTTCCGCATCTGGCTCACACACAGCCCTGAGGGTGGGGGTCAGAGACCAGATTGCCCATTGTTGGAAGGAAAGATGAGAGATCTTGTCATTGGTGACCTATCATTCACTGAAGAAAGGACAGGGAGAAGAACCAGGATGGGCAAGGTGCATTGTAAACAGTGGGCTAAGCATGTCCTTGCTCTTGTAGAGGTCACAGTCTAGTGAAGGACACATGTTAGTAGAACCGTATAAAGTACTGGGAGAGCAGATACTAGGAGCTGCTGTCATAGTGCAGGAGTGTTAGGATGGCAGTTCTTGGAAAGTGGTTTGAGCTCAGAATCTGGATAAATTGGAGTTAGATAAAGGAGGTGAGGTGGTAATTGAAATAAATCCGTCTTTACCCAGTTTTTCTATGCGAGGCAGTTCTGAGCCTTTTCCAGCATCACCCAAGGTGGGATGGTGGGTGGGTAAGACCTTGACTCCTAACTAAAACTGGCAGGATTTAAATCCTCTCTCTGCCGTTTCCTGGCCTTGGGCACTTATCTTTCTGTTGCTTCTACAGCAAGAGAGATGAAATTAATCCTGTTTTAAGGTGTTTTCCTGGGCTGCAGTTTGGAAATTGCATTACAGCAGTGGTTGAAGGGACTTGAGTAGATTTTAGTGCTTCAAAGGTGGCTTCAGCCAGGGTAAGAAGTGATAGTTAATTGGATTTGGTTGGTGAGAGCATGGTCAAGTTTCTGGCTTGTGTTATAAATAACACAGGAAAAGGATGCATGAATGTCATTAATTTTCTTTCTTTATTTTTTTTAGAGACAGTCTCACTTCATTGCCCTTGGTAGAGCACTGTGGAGTCACAGCTCACAGCAACCTCCAACTCCTGGGCTTAGGCGATTCTCCTGCCTCAGACTCCCAAGTAGCTGGGTATACAGGCACTCACCACAACGCCCAGCTATTTTTTGTTACAGTTTGGCCAGGGCCGGGTTTGAACCCACCACCCTCAGTATATGGGGCTGGCACCCTACTCACTGAGCCACAGGTGCTGCCCATTAATTTTCTATTTATTGTGAGGTTTTTCACACATGCAAAAATATTTTATATGTGTTCTAAAAATATATGTGTATTTACCTCTTAGGTCACTTGAGAAAAAGAATTTGCTAATACACTTAAAGCCTTTGAGTTGTCCATTTTTCTATCCAGAGTTAACTGCTATCCTGAATTTTGACTAATCTTGTCTGTGCTATTTATTGTTCTTATCATATATGTATTGATTCCTAAATAATACAGTGATTGGTTTTATATGGTTTGGAACTTTATTTATTCTGTTTGGGATGTATTGAATTTTTTTCAATCCAAAAGTTTATAGTCTGAATAAAATTTGGAAATTTTGACCATTGTTTTGTCAATTTTATTGGCTCCTCTGTACCTTCTGGCACACAATCTGCTTGTGTGGTAGACCACTTGATATTGTGCCACAGGTCACTGTTGATTAGTTCATTTTAGATATCTTGAAGTTCACTGTTTTATTTTTTTTTTCTTCTGCAGTGTCTAATCTGTCAGTTACATCCAGTGCCTTTTCATTTTGGATATTTTTCATCTCTATAAGTTCCATCTGGATCTTTTTTATATATTCCATTTCTCTCCGTATGCTCATGCTTTTCCTCTACTTTTTATTTATTTATTTATTTTTTAAAGACAGTTTCATTTTGTTGCCCTTGGTAGAGTGCTGTTGTGTCACAGCTCACAGCAACCTCCAGCTCTTAGGCGATTAGGTGATTCTCTTGCCTCAGCCTCCTGAATAGCTGGGACTACAGGAGCCTGCTACAATGCCCGGCAATTTTTTTGTTGCAGTTTGGCTGGGGCCGGGTTTGAACCTGCCACCCTTGGTATGTGGGGCTGGCACCTTACCCACTGAGCCACAGGAGCCACCACTATATATTTTT